GATGCACACTGGCATATGGACGGTCCACTGGGCTTCCAAACTCTTGTATTCTTGTCTCCGCCGAATTGCAAAGTCTTTTCGGCTGGCCGGAAGTGGAAGCTGGAGGTGTCAAAGCCTTGCTCGGGGTAATTCTCGATATAGTTCATCAGGACATCATAGCCAATGACCATGCAGCTTGCCCCGCCATCCATGGTGCCGAAGAATCCCTTAGGGATGCTTTGATAGTCCTTCATTTCGAAATGGACCATCATTGCTGTCTCGGCTTTGGCCTTTTTGAAGGAATTGGTAGGGCTTGTTGTTGGACTCCTCTTCTGGGTGCATTGAGTTGCAAAGTGTCCAGGCTGGCCACATCGCAGACATATTTTATTTTACAACACTGACTTGCCTCTTCACATCACCTTTTTGAGGCGGTGATCTGGGACCTTTTCCTTTTCCTCCTTTTCCTTTGGCTCGGCTCGGAATTGGCCTCTGGGTTGATGACGTCGGTATGGAGGAATTCTCCGTCAGTGCAACGACGGGGGAAGAAGCCTCTGTTGTTTCGCAGTTCAGCGAAGCGTCTTCTGGCGTCCAGGTAGGTGGCATAGGCTTCCTCGTATTCAGGGTTTTCTTGGTCTGGGTAGTCTTCATCATAGCCAGCGTATAGAGTTGATTCTTCATCGGCCTCTTTATCATAGGCCTCGTCATCGAATTCAGCGTAGGTCTCCTCATAAAGAATCTCTTCATTCTCATGGTCGTAGGTCTCCTCAGGGAAGTATGGTGTAAATTTCGGCTGATTTTCGCCATTTATTGGCTCCTTTTCCTTTTCCACCAGCGGGGCGTTGTGAGTACCCCACTTTCCCACGGTAGTCCTAACCGTACAAGTAGTACATGGCCTCTTCAACCTTGCTCTCCTCCAGGCTAGTGCCACATTGGCGGGGGGTACTTTAGTCCTAGGACAGACCACTTCTTCTGAGCATCAATCAATCCGTAATCTCTAGAGATAGTTTGACTCCGTGCTTTTCCACTTTACGAAGGGCTTCTCGATGTTCAGTGCAATACGACATCAAGGTTTGGTCGTATCGCCTGCTAATACTATAGAAGAATTTTTCGAATCTTCTTGGTTACTCCATTCTTGCATCGTAACGGAAATTTTGTCGAGGATCTCAATCCCCTTCTTAAATCCTCCATCCTTATCTTCGTTGGCCGATTCTACGATCGGGTCGATTTGAATCCAGGCTATCCTGAAAGGGTGGTCAAGAGGTTTATAACCCCTTTTTACGACTTCTTTTGCTGCACCATCTTCTTCTGGTAGAGGTAGAGGTAAATCCTTGTTTTCCATTCCCTGTAATCCTAAAGTCGATTTAAGAAAGAATCTTTGTTTACGGATGCAGCGAATGAGGATAATATAATGTTCGGCGTGTTGTAACAATAGCGCTATAGCAATAACAACCCTAAATCCTACGATTCCGTTACCAATTTAAAATTAGATAATTCCCATAAGGTTTGTATCTTTCGAAATATACGAATTCGAATTGCAGCGAAAATTCAAGCGAATTAAATACGTCCTTCTCGTGCTAACGTTACCATGTTCAATAATATATAATCCCACCGTTCTAAATAACGGTTAAATAAGGAAATAAAAACCAATTCATGCCCAAAAACGACAATTACAATCTTCTTTCAAATTATCCATATTCGCAAATATTAATTACATTTATAAAATCATTAATATGTTAAAATACATATAATTAAACATAAATAAATAATATAGAAATATATATATTTATTTATTTTAAAAAAATACAATCCACAATTTTAATATAAATATAAATAATTATAATATATTTAAAAAATTATTTAAAAAATATATCGATATTCTAAATAACAATAATTCAATTATGTATTATAAAATTATTAATATATATAAAACAAAAAAAAAAATAATATATTAAAAATATCCTATACAAAAAATTCGATATATTACATATTAATCAAAATAAATTCTACATTATATATAAGGAATAAAGAAATTAAAACATAATACCATTATTTTATTATATATAAAGAATTTTAATCGTTACATATACATATTTTGTTTAACTAAATAAAAATATTGTATAATTGAAATATATTTAATTGAATTTAAGAATATTAAAATACAGATAAAAATATATCATAATTTAATATATATAGATATATATTAAATAAATAAAGCGCCATTGCCAGCTCAAATTTTGGCAACCGTTTCCCTCGACCACTTCCACCATGAGGAGTCGGAACCGCGGTCTGTGATATCATGATTTTCAGGCTGCAGATCATATTTTGGATATTGATGAGTTTGGCAAGCCCGGTCCCAAGTCCGGCGGTGTATTGGACAATACAGATCCTTCAGCAACATTCCATACACCTGGCGTGAGGGTTGCTATCCATTCTTCGCTGGATAGCAGAAGTGCAGGTCATTCAGAAGCACCTCATATTGCCTGCCTGCACAAAGACGAATGAAGTCTGGGCGATGTTTGGCTACGGCCATGTGACGCAACCAGCTCGAATCCGCAGGATCAAAAGGTCCTTTCGCAGGGCTTGCAAGCGGGCATTACTTGAAGGTCACACCACCTACAAGGGTCGTACATTCTGGTCAGTGGATGTCGCATTCCGCAATTCCTTGAAGCTGGAACGCTCTACATGTGCTGCACCTTCCTTGAAACGACCTCCACAGTCACCCAAGGAGGCACTGAGATTTTTCAGCTGGAATGCGGGCCGCAGCCTGAACTACCACGAGTGGCTATCCTGGTGTGCTGGTAGAAATGAAGACGTCCTGTTCATTCAGGAATCCGGATGGCAGATGAATGGTCAATGGACCACGGATGATTGGTATTGCATTCATTCACATGATGCATCCGCCAGCCTACTTTTGATGGTTCGACGGAAACTGCTCAGGCCATCTCTGTTGGCCTATGCTGTTTTGATCCCTGGAAAATTGATCCATTTGAGACTTATGTTCAGCCGAGTCCATGATGTGTATGCGGTCTATCAGACAGCTTGGAACACCACCAAATCGGTGACCACCTTGCTTCGTGAAAGGCAGGACATGTGGCATCGGCTGAGACAGGGCATTTTGCACATCCCTAATAACCCAATAGTCACATGCTTGTCGTTGCAGGTGATTTTAACTGTCCCTTACAGCAAGCCGCACCACATGTCGGAAGTCATAATCCCCGGTTTGAAAAGCCCTCCAAACCGATAAAATGACTTTCCAGCAGCTCATTGCTGACCTGGCCTTGGTGGCTGTTCATTGTCGTTAGAAATACATCCCCACATTCGTTCATGGACATCACAAACCCAGGATTGATTTTATGTTTCTTAGAGAACCACAACTTCGATGGAAACACCTTCAGGCTGTTGTAGATTGCAAGTTTGAGCACATTGGTCTCCATCAGGGTCCTCAGCATCGGCCTTTGCTATTGTGTCTCCCCAAATGGCATGCCGTTCGACAACCACCCTGTACCCACAAACCCATTGACCGCCATGGTATGCGCCAGGAGATGATCAATTCCACTCCTCGGTGGCAGGAGTTTGACTGTGCGGTCCGCAGTTGTATCCTCAGATAAACTACAGATTCCAGTCAGGATCCCCTTCAGATTTGCCTTTCTATGGAGATGACCATTCGAGAGTTGTGTATTGTTCATTTTCCAGGCCTCAAGTCATTGCACACACCTGATGTCCATCTTCGATCCCTCACCGCACGCATGTGGCATGCTCGACGTTCAGATAAGATTGATGTGTATTGTCTCGGTCAAGACCATGTTTCAAAGCTGGCACAATAGCACCGTGTTTACACGCCTTCATAAGCAGATACGTCAGTATGGCAGACAAAACAACAGAAACAAATTCGATACCGATACCTTAGAGACAATGTCACCAATGCACTTGCCAAGCGGATGCATGATTGGTACCGCAACATTCGTAAATTGTATCCCAAACAGCCATTCAGGAAGATTCAAATGTATGATGAACATGGGGCACCCCTGATGCCGCACCAAGAACTTCGATCATTGGTGTCCCACTTCAGTAATCTGTTTGGAGATGCCACATTCGACTTGCAATCCAGTGCACTGACTGTTCTGCCCTTTACTCAGGCTGCTCTGGAGGAGGGCTTCTCACGCCTGCCGATCACGAAGGCACTGGCTCCAGTTTGGAAATACTTTGCTCCAGACCTGGCAACTGTGGTCTATCCTGTCATCCATCATGCCTGGGTTTCGCAACACGGAGTGCCCCCGACCAGATGGTCCACCGGTTGATATATGCGAGAGCATTTGCTGCGCTTACCACCATCACCACCGTCCCCACCATCACCGCCCACCAGCGTCACCAGCACCACCACCATCACCATCCCTGAAATACATTCAGCGTTTACTAGGGTCTCCAAGAAGCAAACATCTCCAAACCCATTGTCTTTCGGGACCTGGCTCCCTGTTCCTTTCCACCTAGCTACGAGTTCTGGATGCGTCTGACATGATAGCAGCAGCTTTGGGCTCCTGCGTCTGTTCACAGCCTATGATCGCTTCTGACATGGCTCTGGGCGCGACTGTTAGCAAGGTGGCAAACATAGCCGGCAGCCGGAGAACCTTGAGGAGTCGCGTCACCTGGTCATCATTGGCAACCCCACACGGAGGGTGGCGACAGTGGTTCTTCCGGGACAAAGTCCCGAGCATCCTGGAGTCGTGCTCTTCGGGGTTGGGGGTCCAATGTAGTTCTTTTTGGCGCACTTTTCGGTCTTTGCGTTTGGTGGGGCCCGGTGCTCAAAAACGTTATATGCCAGTTTGTAGTCAAGTTCAGCGACGTACTGAACCAAGAATGCAAGAGTCGAAACCTGTACATTCATCCAAGGTTCTACCAGCTTTCTGCAACCATATGGACAGCTCACCGTGCGAAATTGCTTAGACAGGGCGAACCTTGGGGTGAGACCTGTGAGTGGCCTGACTGAACTGAGATCTGCCACGAGGCAATCTCCAAGCTATGCCTTATGCCTTCAAGAACATTTGAGACAAAGACGAAGTAGCATCGCTGAAAAATCGAACCTCAGTTCACATTCCAGCCTGGAAACGCAAAGAGAAAGACAGAACTTGAGCCAAGGACGAGAAAATGAAAAAATAATGCCCAAAGAAGAAAAACAATAATGACAATCAGGGAAGAAAGATGTAAAGAAAGGGACAGTTTTTTTTGTATTCCAATTGCAAGGGGCAATCTCTTCCTCCGTCTTGCGGAACCAGTCATACTGCCTTGCCACCCTCGATGCTGTTGGTGCTGCTGCCACAGTCAAAGCAAGACGTGCAGGGCCTGAAGAGCCAAGTCTTGCAAAAAGCGCATCAAAGGGCCTATTTAACAAGGGTTGAAGGTGCCCTTACCTTTCTTATTTCCATCTCCTTCTGTTCTGCACTGCAGAAAAGCCTTCACGAAATCAATGAGCCGCAAGGCTCAACAAACTTACAACATGCGCCTAAGACTTCAGCAGCACCCAAAGCAGCTGCTGCATAGCCGATCTGGCTTCCACCACCTCGTTCTCCCAAAGACGGGAGAAGTCATCTGTCAACCTACTTGCAAAAAAAGACAGAAAAAAGAGAGAGATAAAAAAAACTAATAGCAATTGCCTTCAACCTAGCAGCGATGGCCTCCAACCTAAGAGCGATGGCCTCCAACCGGCCTCCAACCTACTAGCGATGGCCTCCAACCTAATAGCAATGGCCTCCAACCTGCCTCCAACCTAATACAGTAGCGATGGCCTCCTCATTTGTTCAAATCGTATCTTCAAAAATCTTCTGTAAAGCTGTCCTCACTGGCGAAGAATCAAACAAGGCACTTATCCGTTGCTGAAGCTCAGCGGGGAGCAACTCGAGAATGCCGGTGTTAATGGACAAGAACAAGTAGCAGGCTGACAGAGTGCTGACCCAAACCATGAAGTGAAAGAAGAGTGCTGGCAGGCCATAGCGCTTCAAAATCTCAGGAATGCTCACGTGCTCCTCTATTCTTTCCTCCACTCTCCTTGAAAGGATCGATCTTCAATCACAATCACAAGCAAGGACAACTTGCAAATACGAAAGCAAATTCTCAACAAAGAAAGGCAGGATAGCCGAGATTCTCTGTGCTTATTTGAGATGCCTCTACACTCTTTGAAACGAGCTTTGCGGCAGGGGCATCGGTGGCGTTTGGAGGTTGCACCGGCCTGAGTCGATCTGTGCGGTATCAGTCAGATCGCACTTGAAGCAATGTGCAAAAACCATCTGAAGCATCTCGTGCCTTGGAAAGCCTAAGAATGCAATCTCGCTCGCCAGAAAAGCGCACAGCACTAAAGCCCCAGAAAGGCGAAAACGTCGGAAGGAGCGCATGCGGAAAATTCCAGCTTCTGCTGGATGGGCAAATATTCGACTCACTACAAACAAGCTTGAGCCACAAAGGTGCAGGCACGACCACACGTAGCTCTAATCTTCTGAATTCAGCTGCAAGACTCCTTGACAAGCTAGAATGCCAACCAAAGAAAAGAAACAAGAGGATTCCACCATGCTCAAGTACAAGTAGATATGGTGTTCAAATAATCAAGAATCCTTTTTCAAGTCTCCTGCTCTAACATGACCACATTGGGCCAATGATAGTCAGGGGCTCTGTAACCAGCGTTCAGGCCTCTGCACTTCTTCATACTTGGACGGCAGCCGTTCCTCACACAGCCAGTGCTCTTGTCGCAGCGCAGGAGCATTCCAGCAAATGCGCCGTGCAGGCTGCGCAGCACCTGCAAGAGCGGCACGCATTGGTTCAATGCACCGTCAGCTCCTTTCTTCCAAATGCCCAAATGATTCTGACGGCGCTCCGCCCTGAAGTTGTGTCCATTCTTCCTCCTCATCCTCGTCCTGGTAGTTGACTGCAATCTCCATTAGCTGCACATGCGTCATCCACCTCCAGAGCCTCCAAGGTGGACTCGGCAGTCGCGATGGCCGCGATGGCAATTGTCACAAAGGACAAGAGGGGTTTCATGGCCCTGATGGCGGTCAAGACACAAGAATGTCTTAAGGGTAAAGGTTGCAGCGTCGCATTGCCACTTGATCACTGGTTCGTCAGCTGGGCCACAGGATGCAAGTGCGAGCGGTTCTTCAATGCACATCAATCATGCGCCAAGGCACCTTGGCACCTTCGCAGCTTCTAGGTCATCTTCACGCAAAGCCCGCGTCCAACGAAGTCAGCGGCTAACATTGAAGAGCCTCGACTCATGGGCACGTGACAAAGTAGAGGACTCGCTCCAGACCCGAAAGACACCCAAGTAAACCGAACACTCACTTTTCTACTCTCACTTTCTGCACCGACACGAAAAGAACCTGTCCTGTTCTTCCCTGTTGACACTCAACTTCACGTGTTCGATTCAAATCGAGTGGCTGCTCAACTTCACGTGCTTGAGATCCAGCCAAAATAGCTAGCCTGTAAAAGCATGTAAAAGCTCTATGGCGAAAGCAAAGATCGACCTATGGCAGCTATGGGTTCAAAAATAGAGGTCACCAAGCCTCTCCAATTCACTTTGCAAGTGGTCAGTGCTCTTGATAATCCAGAACACTGTTCCTGAAGACCAGATTTGGGATGCCAGTTTTCAGTGCAAGGTGAATGAGTTTGGCACCGCAAATACCTGCACAGCAAACAGCTGTCAGAATGGACACCACTTGCGAAGACCTCACTCCAACTTGACAAAGCCAACCGGGCAAAACTATGTTTGAATAGACCAGACCTCACTCACTGCACCACTCCTCTTCCTTCACCCCTGCCCTTGAGGCCAGAACCAGCTGGACTTGGTCTTGCGCTTTGCTCGCGACATTGAAGCGCTTGTGAATCAGCAAACAAACAAAAAGGATGCAAGCAAGACTTCATCTGTGAAAGCAGGTTGGTCGGAATGATGATATGCTGGGATATTTGACAAATGCAAAGTCTTTTGCTGGAACGGCTGCTCATGAACGCCAGCGAGGGCAAAGCTAATTAAAGCATAGTGTAGTGCATTCCAACTTGGAAGCTCTGGATCTTGATTGCCATTCATTCTCGTCCGCAACTTCAAGTAGCTTGATCGAAGCTACAGGTAAAGCTACGAGTGAAACCGGCCAAGTGCTTTCAAGTGCTTCATGGCTGGAGAGGGGCACGGTTGAATGCGCCACCATGCAGAAGGGGATCCTGGAAGGGCGATGGCAAAAGATGGGCAGTGTTTAACACCAAGAAAAGGGAAAGACAAATTGCCTCAGAGGTGTAGCCATCCAAACCCAAAGCCTCGTGCAAGGCCAGCATACTGTATGCTAAAGCTGCTAGGGAACATCCAAACAGTTGCAAGCACTTGTGGCTTCGCCTGCATCTCAGTCAGCACGTATTTGGCCGCTGCCAATATACCAACGAAAGTGGCACACCTTTTGACTAGACTTGGCAGCTCGTCTACAGATTGCCAGTGTGTCTTCTTCCTGTTCTGTCTTTCTCTTCTTCCTCCTCGTTCCTTATTCGTTTGCTTTCTATGTCCTTATTCATTTGTTTTCTATTCCTTTCAGATATTGATCCTGTAGTTTGGGGAAGGTCGTCCAAAATTGCGGAATGATGGGAACTCCGAACTTCATCTGGCCTCACTGCTATGAAGAACATGCTCACGAGGACGACAAATATAGCGCAGCCCATCACGAGGGTTCCCTGAAACAGATCTGATCACTCACTCTGGAAGTGTGACGAAATGGCTTTAAGAGTGGACTGGGAGTCAAGCCAGCAGTTCCTGAGCAAGAATACGCATACTTCTTGCTTCTTGCTCGATGTGTCATGATCACCAATACATGCAAGCCACGGCAAAGTGCGTCCAAATCATACCGTATCCAAATTTAGTGCAAAGCAGGATGTGGGGGGTGCTGTCTAAAGTCAAAGGCAACAAAATGCTGCAACATTGAAGCCAAGATTCCATGAGGCCTACAATCGTGTTGGCCAAGCCGATCAAAAGGAAGATGACAGCCGCGGCTGCACCTTGCAACCAAACTCCTTTGCTTCTCACATGTGTTCATTCCTGAGACTGGAACCAACAGCACCCAGCTGATACGCGCCAATCTCAACACCCGGAACCTCTGGCTGGGGGCTCTGAATTCCACTTGAAGTGCAGTGAACTTATGACTGGACATACCACTTTGGCAGAATGTTTGACAGGGCAGCACAAACAGAATCGTTGGGCCTATCGTGGCACACTCCACCTGGAAATGCCAAGCGCGGCACAAGCTGCTCCAGGCGTCTGCTCACTGGCAAGTCCTGACTGGATTGGTGTGCACCGCGTTCTCAGGGTGACAAACCCACAATTGCCTGGTGCTGCTGCCAGCGTTGGGCAAGCGCCAGTGGGTCTGGCAACGCAAGCAAGGCAAGTCCAAGTTCAAGATTGGCTCAAAGTTCGTTCAGGTGACCTTGCCGTGCAGCCTGAAGAACAGGTGCCATTTGAAGGTGACAAAACCAGCCCTTAGCTCGAGCATCATAAGCTGTGACTAACAATGCAGCTTGCGAGCATAGAGAATGAATCACCTTCTGGTCTTGAGCAGATCTAAGCGGCCCACACCACCCATCATGAGGCAGGAAAACCATGCATCTGCCCGCAACCATGCCTGCAAGACGAGCAAGCTTACCAATAAGGTAATCGCCAGGTGCTCATCGAAACGAATTTGAGGCTACGGCCGAAAGACCTGAATCACAAGAAAGTCCACCTGAATGGCAGGACCAATATCTGCGCAGTTCTCAGGACCCTAGCATTGCTACTCGCAGAAGCATGTTGACAGACTTTTTCGTACACAGTATGCAACATTAAATTCATTAAATGCAACAACCCGCATATTGGCATGTGGTTCACTTGCTTCAGTTTATAGCATCTGCCATCCAAGCATCTCTTATTGCCCACGAGTAATCTACGCGATTTCGCAAGTCAGGGACCATGTCCCAAAAGCACATACTGGGTCCGGCACCGAAGACCAAAGCCAGGAGCAACTCCAAAAATGGCAAGGCCACAATGGCCTGTGATGTGCTGAAATGAAGGTATGCTGAGCAATCGAACATGGGCAAAGGGTCCAAGATCCATACCAAAGCATACTCTTCGACCAAAGTCCACATTTTCAAAGCTGCCACAAGCTTGTCAGCAGACCTCAGCGGTTTCAAGAGCCCTGTGGCAGGGAAGCTCTAAATCTGGTGCCAGCACCCTCCAGGACGCATGGCTTCTTCAAGGACTCCTTTGTGCTCCTTCCAGCGTAAGTAACGATCATTGTCGATATATACATACATACGGCAAAGGCCGTTGAGCACCGAAAAATATAAAAACTTTTATGCACCTTCCACGACCTCTTTGCTTGAAAAGGTTGCACATGGTGCAAATTTGCAAAACCAGTAGATCTTACTTGAGAACCCCAAGTGCTGCCACAACGGCATCATCATCAGCAACAGCAGCAGCATCGAAGCAACCGTTTCGCGGCCTCGGGCACAAGCTTTGCTTCAATCAACGCCTGCAATTGGCAACGAGCCACAAAACTTCCGAAATCACAACACGGCGGCAACTACCATGTAGCATTGCTAACATGTCCTCATGTTTCCTCATGTATATAATATATGGGGTACCTGCTTGCAAGCAAGTTCAGCATACTGGAATAGATGGATATGCCGACAATCAAGCAAGAAGCAGCCAGCTTGAAAATGGGCTCATTTTAAGCAAATGCATTGTCCTTGAGAGACAGCTGACTGAATCTCAAATGGCAAAGCTGAATTAGAGAAGACCGCACAAAGGAGACTTTTGGACTTCGGGTTTTTGAGACAAAGTGACACCTCACTTTTCTCTCACCCGACACCTCACATGCGCGGTTCCTTCAATGGCAACAGGCTAAGATAGATCCCTGACCTGTAGCGTCTGCTTTGTCAATCCTTCACTCTTCTAGTAAAAACTGCTGCCATCTGTGTCTCTTCACAGCTCGCCAGATCGATTGATCACAATCGTAAGAGCTGTTTTGGAACTCAAAGCAATGCAGCTTTGGCATTATAGATTCCACAGCCGCTCGCTGTGATTGAGAAGCTGGCAAGCTCTGCAAACAAACAGTGAAGAATCTGCAAAATAAAGAATGACACGTCTTGCCTTTGGACCTTTGAGCCTTTGGCTTGCCTTTAGCTTGCCTTTGGCTTGCCATCAAGGAAACTTCGCCAAACGAAATATATCCCCTCCTAAGCAGTACCATGCCACAGCAAAGTGTGGTTGCCTCAGGTCATTTCAATCTGCGCTCTCATGCAGCGGGGAGAGGTTGCAAACAGCATGCATGTGAGGACCTATTGTTGTATGGACACCGTGATGGTAAGAGCTAAGAGCTGAGGCCTCTGACAAAGACCGTCTCACTGCCGGAGGGAGAAAGCTGACCTTCAGAATTGCGAGCTGCGCCAAGGATCAGAAGATGTAAATTAACATCGTAATGTCCAGCTTCAAATGGAGGGCCTCAGCCATCATTGGGCTCGTCCGTCTTTTTGATGATTAAACCTGTCAACAAAGAAACACTGCTACAACTCACCCCGTGAAGCACGAAGCCAACACTTCAAAGCCTACCGGCCTGCGGCCGTTTCGTTCCGCACTTTCGGCAGAAGTTCGAATCGGGGAGGAAGGCGCTGCCACAATTTGGACAGTGCGATGCAGGCCCGCCCTCGGTGCCAAAAGATGCAAAGACCCGAAGATCGACAGAAATGGCTGTGAAAATTGTTCTGAAGCTAGAAACCCAAACCCAGATTGTCTTAAAGAAAACTTCGCACACAGAAAACAATACACACACACACAAGTGCTCACGCTTTGCACCACAATGCCAGCACACGTTGGAACCTACTATAAGAATCCGCCGACCTTGCCGGCGGGTCTAATCGGTGGTGCCGTGTTTCCTTCGATTTGATGTGTGCTGGGTTGTAGCTGTAGAATGGTCTTCTTGGACGGGATTTTTGTTTTGTCTAAAAAACCAACCCCTTGTCCTCGACCTTCTGTC